CGGGTTGTGGTGTGGTCACCCAGCCCCAGTCCATCACTTTTGACTGATAGTCTTGTGCCGACGACGAGCCAGGGAGTAAATCGGTGTGAACGCTCTGCCCGCGAAAAGTCCACGCGGGATAAGAGACAGCCAGCCCGTCCGCCGTCAAGAAGTTCATGAGCAATGAGCATGGGCAGTAGACGAGAGGGTGTGTGGAGTTAAGGCGCGAACTGCATATGATATCGATTTGGCCGCGGGTTGGATGGATGAGGCGGGTCATACTGACGACCCCGGGACGACTGTCGACGACGCGTTTGAGTTCGATGGGCCGAGCGATTGGCAAAACGTGATAACCTTCGACCGTATGCAAATGAGAGGCGAGCGTGATGGCGTGCAGTGGAGACACCATGAGGTCCAAGTCAGAGGGGGAAAGCAGCGGCAAATCTGTCCCGTGCAAGGCGAAATTGAGCGCTTCAGAGCCACATATCACCGACTGGGTCTCTCGCAGGAGATTCCGAAATGCGAGCGCATCGACAACGTATCGCGCCAGTAGTTCTTCGAACTTTTGTGAGAAGTACGCCTGAGTCGTTCGGTTGCATTCAGCGCTACAAAGACGGATATTGACAGTTTCCCGAAGAGGTATGTTTTTCAAAAGCAACGGAAGGACCCTGCTGGCAAAGCACGAGGGGAGCGACGGGTCGTAGGGCAAAGTATCCATTTAATGACCAGAGTTGGTTCGTAGTGATGAGGTCTTTCCGGCCGGGGGAATGAAACGTATGGTGCAAGCGTGAAGGCGGAGAAAAGGCAGAAAGCGCTCGAGTAGTTACGGACGCGCCCGTCCCTCCGATCAGAGGTAGCGTCAATCTATTAATATCACCATTGCAAATACGAGCAAGACACCAAATACGAGCGCAAACATGCAAAAAAGCCGAATACATAAGTCCTTAAAAACCAAGCCATTGCAATACACTTCAAAGGTCCACTCTACCATCGTACTCGTCATCTCCCTCGCCTTCAGCAGACCCATCGCCCTCGTCGTCACCACTGCTCCCAACGTCATCGTCCTGGACTATCCACCCATCATCTTCGTAGTCCCCCACACTCATAGCGTCATCCGATCCATCAGAGCCCACACTGTCACCCGATCCCTCGTCTTGTGCAGACGGGGAGGACCTGCCCGCGCTATGTGTGTCGTCTGTGGAAGATTCGCCAGAGCCATCTGATACGTCGGTGGAGGTTTCGCTGGAGACATCCGCGCTGTCAATGGAGGATCCGTCGTCTGATTCTTCCATTGAGCCTTCGTCGTCCCCGTCGGGGGATCTGGCCATTATGTTCCCATCGCGAACAAGTCTGAGTATATCCTCAGTGGGCGACTCGTCTGCGAACCGAGATTAATAAAGCAATGCACAAAATAACAAGATAACGTACCACCGTCGTCTACTGAGGTGTGAACCGTGTGTCCAATATTCCCGTCGCTTCTGTAATCGTTGCGGCGTCTGACGAACGGAGGGCGATATTGGCCCATACCTTCCTACACGAACAATGAGATTTGCAAATGCAAGATATAAGCGAAATACACACCCTGACAAGATCGATACGACGCTTGACCCGCACCACGTTCGTGAATGAGAAAAATACTGAGGTTCTCGGTAAACCGTCTTCCCCTTGGAAAAGCACGACTTCCGGATATATCGCTACATCCAGAACATCGCCCATCATAAGACTCGTACGTCTCCAAGGCCTCACCACCTGATCAGGACCTAGAAATTGGAATGAAGGCCGCTCGAACGGCTCGCCATTGGGTTGGTACACCCTTCTGCGGATTGTAAGAGTTTGGGGCAACGAATGCAGTGCAGAGGGGGGAGGGAGGCCGAGGTGTCGAAAGACAGCGCGTATGACAGTCGCCAGAGCATCCATCTGGCGCCGAAATGTGTCGTCCCAACCGTCATAACCCGAGGCGAGGCGAAGAAACAAGACTGGGTTCCACCGCCTTCGCTGTGACACGGGGGCGCTGTACATGATGGTGCGAGTGGAGTGGATATAAGAAAGAACTATTCTGGGGAGAATCATGTACAACACACGCACCGATTTAAGTCTCCAGTAAGATCAAGAGACCAGTCGGCTGCAACTCCCTGGACGCGTATAGAGAGAGGTTGACCCGTGCGATTGGTGATGACGAATGGAAAGCTCTGGACGAACAAATTCCCTGTAGATAGGCTCAGGGACATAAAAGCCCAGACGTCGTCGTCTTCCTCAGGCAAGCGCCGCATGGCCGGGTCGGCAGGGACAGCCCATTCACCGCTAAAGTCGGTGGTGTCCACGAGACAGAGAGGCTGACCGTTATCTAGAGCCCAACGAAACGGCACTAAATAAGAACGCAACGATCTAAGGAGACCACGGGGAAACGTACATTGGGGACGCGACATAGAGGACTCACAAAGGGTAGAACATCACAACAGAGTAGATAAATACTGCGTAATATACTCTGGAGGTCCAACGGGACTTAGGTATGCGGATCATTGTTTCGCCGAGCTCCTGTTAGGTGAAAAAGAAAAGGCTGGCGGGCGGACACCAAAAATGATACGGCGGTAGTCTCATAAAAGTGCTCACAGCCTCAGAAAATCGTTACACACGATCGGAAGACCCAGGCGAAGGCGTAGACGACTGAACCGGCGCCGTAACGCAAAAGGATTCACTGTCACATTGCCGACACACACATAACCGAATAGACCTGCCATTCACTACTCGATCGAGTGCGCACAGTTCGCCGAGTGGAATGTAGATATTTCGCCATAAAGAAGGGCAAGTATCGAGAAGAATATATGTACATTAACGATACGATATTACGCCACCGCCACACAAGAAGGCTATTCAACAATCTCACCCCTCACCCAAAGAACGGGTTCGGTATCGGGTTCGCACCCCCCGCCGCATGCTTTACCACCATATAACCACGAAGTAAAAGGCTTTGTCCACCAAGGACCGCCGACTGTCTTATCCGCAAAGGACATTCGCAAACAACCGGCATCTGTCCAACAGCGAATAATGTCTGGACAATTCCATTTAGTCATCTCCGTCGGATGACCCCAGTCGTTCGATACCTAAGTAGAGATGTTCAATAAAGACGACCAAAAAAAGAAGACATGTTCGAGCAGGCGACGGACCTGGAGGCTCCCATGCGTAGACAGCATTTCTGTAGACATCGGCTACAAAAGATGAGCGAGGGTGGGCATAACGGTTGGATAGAACTTACTGCGTTACCCTCGAAGCCAACTATAGTAAAGCCGCGGTCGATGTATTTCGCAATACACGCGTTTTTGCTGATACCGGAGTTGCTGATAGTAGAAACGAGCCCTACAACGTACCCATCGAAGGGATATTAACTAATGGACGGGAAAATGTCAGAAAGGTCTCACCAATTCCGCGAAGGGTCAACGACGGGTATGCCATCGAAAACCCGTCCGCGGTTAAGAAGTTCATGACGAGCGTGGACCAGAAAAGCGATATTTGGTGCACCGCCGACAATCTAGCGACGCAGACAACTTGAAGCTTCGTCCCACGTCCGACATTCACAAGTGTTGTGACAGATACCACACCTGCGCCGTAGTCTCCGATAAGCTCGCCGAGCCCTGACAGTCGTCTCTCCACAATGACGCGATACCCCTCCAGGTCACGGAGGTGCAATACAATGGAAAGAGCATATAGAGAGTTCGCGTAGATGTCCATGTCGTGAGCGTGTACCGGGGGACATGATGTGCCGTGGAGGACGAAGTCGAGTGCTTCTGAGCCGGAAATGATCGTACCGGTGCGCCGCATGAGAGAGCGAAAGGCCTCCTCGTCGTCTACGTACTTGCGGAGAAGCTGTGTATGCTTGCGGCGTAGATAGTTCTTGACAGCGTAGTACCAGAACTTGGAAGCAAGCCGCGTCGACCACAACGTGGGAATGGGTACATGCGCAAATATTCTCTCGACCAAGACGACGTCCAAGCCTCGATTACCCGCGAGATGTATGCGGGGGTTTGTGTAGCCTTCGAATGTAGCGGACAGAACTAGGATGCCATAAACATGTTAGAAGAGCGATTACAAGACATTGGACTACTCACGGGCAGAGTGCGCTACCTGAGACGACATAGTGAAGGTTAAATCGTGAGCTGGAGGGGGAGACGTGAGTAGAGATGGAGCAGGAAGATACGGACCTTAAGCAAAAGGGCTGAAAATGCCAAAGACACCTTGCACAGTAAGCAATCGAACACGCTCGGAAGAAAGAAAGAGCACAGATCCGATGACCGGCGAAAAACAGCGAGTGGACAGTGAGCACCCAAAAAAATGCAGGCAAAGTCGCCGCGCTCTAGGCGCATCCACGTAGAGGGGCCGAGTGCCTCCTATAAGAATAGGAGGAAACACAATTTTATGCGCAATTTTTTTTGGCGGACCACGGCGACATTAAAGGGTACAGGAGTCACAACGATAAGGAGCGCCTAAACTCATAGACCATCCAGGAGCTCTCTCCGGGTCATCGGCGCAAGATCAACAGGAGGACGAGACCCTGGGGGGAGGGAGAGAAGTACAAGAAACGAAGTCAGAGCGATGCATGGAAAGGGGCGAGATGTACGGAAAGGAGGGAGAAAGGGGATCAGACGAACTATATTGCCATCCCACAAGTGCACCGAGGTCCATGTCTGCAATCAAACCGTCCGCTCCTCTCAAAGGCATGACTGCACTACGGCTCCAGACGAGCTTGAAGCAGGCTGCATCCGCAAAAGAGCGCGCTGTATCGGCACAGTATGCTGCGGGGAGCACATTGCCCGGTGAACGTTCGGTTGCCGGCATGTCTTGAACTAGGAATGGGCGGCGCGCGGTTCGAATGAGGATGCGGGGGGGCGGGAGCGAATGACGCCGGTGAGGGGGAATAAGACCGACCCGATCGAAGGTCGTTTTAGGATAAGCCACGACCAGGCCATCGCAGGTGATGTAGTTGACGAGGTGAGTGGACCATGTCCAAGGAACAGCAGCGGATGGTCGAGAGCCTGATGATAGAAAGAGACGGATAGAGCGGCCACGCCATACGTTCTCCGTGTAGAGGTCGTAGGCACGTTCCTCCACGATACCCTCTACCTCCTCCATGTTATCATTTCCGAACCCCGGACTCGTTTCCTCCCCTCCGATCTTAATGACGAATTTGTGCGCGATATCAGGGGCGTCGCTGATGAATCCGGGACAAACAATGTCGAGAGATACGGGGATGTATTGATTTTGATCATCGAGCAGAAAGCGGGGGATGATGCTACCAGTAACGACGGCTTCTGTGTCATGAAGCATCGCCAGGAATTCAACAAATTGAGAGTGATCAGGAAACCAAGGACTGAGATGCGCGCGTAACCGGTATAAACATGCCCGCCGTGCAGCTGTTCTCATTTCGCGAGATACAGACATCCAGGTTGTAATTTCGGGAATGGAAAACAGAGGAGCCAAGAACTTGAGTACGTCGACTAGGGTCCTGCCAGACATGGTGTGCCGGTACGAATGGAGGCAGCACAAGTAGACGTGACCACAGAAAACGCCTGCGGGCCACATTCCCACGCTGAGGTGGCGACACTACGCGTACAACGACAGAACGAACCGCCGCAACTCCCTCTCTCCGAAGATTTCCGCGACGTTTGATCCAGATTGTTTGTACCACCAAATGGTCCTTGCCAGCCTCTCAGAACTAATGGTAGCAGAGTCCATCCAGGCTCCACCTTTTGGCCCATCCAGTACTACTAGCACTCTTCCTGTCACCACATCCTCGGCAATAGACGACATAACGGAGTTATGGAGCTTTGTAGAAGCTGAAGGAGCAGCGTACGCCGAGTAATACCACCGGTATTCTTGTTCATCGCGGTCGTAGAAGTTCAAGAGAGGTTGTCCACCTTCGCTGTCCAGCAAATCTTGTAAGCAAGCCTTGTCGATGGCTCCATCGGTGGTGAAATCAACATGACATGGGTCAATATGATAGAGAAGCGATTGGACTGATGAAAGGGCATCGTGGGCGTGGATGTCGGGATGGATAATAAGGCCGTTCCAGGTGGCACCGTCATCGTCGTCCTTTGCATGAGGTGTCGAGGAATCGCTGCGCTGGCAAAATTGATGGATCCTCTACGATGGAACGACCTCAGTACGAAGGGAGGTCGGTCAAGCAGAAAGAACCGACCTTAGAAGAAACCAACCAGTCTGGATGCGCGTTTTTGACATTCTCTCGCAGTCCACCAGCCTTGCCAAGCAGAGTCATAGCGTGCGCAGCTGCTATCGCTTCACGCAATTCGGCGGCGGTGGGAGTATACATGGGTTGTAATAATTGCAAACAAGTGGCAGCCCATTTACTTAATAGGACACGACAGTTACTATGAGACACCCGTCCACGACTGAATCCGACCACCTGATTCAGATTGAACCCGAGAAGTCGCGACATTCGATCCTCTATAATATAGAATATGTGAGAGCGAGTCTTGAAACAAAAGCACTAAATGCGCACCGTTAGAAAAAACACACACAAAAAGTACAGGTCATGGCTCTTATGACGATTCCTAAATACAAATGTCGAGCGCGAATTCGTTAGGGTGAAGAACGCGTCGGTAAAAGCGTTTGTCACGTACAAACTGTGAAGGTGAAGAAATTGTCAAAGAAATCTCCTTGTCCTTCTACCGGTGCTATCGTTTCAAAGATGGGGTCCAGCGTCAGGTGTCGCAGTATGTTATCTCCGAGTTGACGGGCATGCATCGGTGAGCTTCGGCCGTAAACAACAAAGTTATGCAAGGACAGCTCTATGTACGACGCAAACATGTCATAATTAGACGTCGTCATGAAGACGATGACGATCACGCACCTTGATACATTACATCCTCCAAAGAGACAGCCAATTTTACAAGGAGAATCACTAGAGGAGCGTTGATCGGTTCTCCAAGGTTCTCCAGCAAAGACATAGCGAAACGGAACGCTAGTTTACAGTCCATCATGGCGTGCACAGCCCAGCGAAGTAACGGATGATCTACACGAGACTGTGCGAAGGAGTATACCACGGCCCATACACTAGAAAAGGCCAAGACGCGAAGGACCATCCAGGAGACGACAATATCCTGAGTCGGGAGGTTGAGATCGTGCCCAGTGAGCTGGAAGAGAAGACGCCGCATTCTGTTGCTGCGGGATGCAGACACTGATTCTAGTAGATCTCTGCGTGACGCGTCATCGGGACAGAGG